CTTGAACAATAATATTTTTATTATACTTGAACAATAATATTATCAATTATATTATATTATAGAATATAATACCATATATAATATTACCAATTAATAGATTTTATTTAATTTCCATTTGACATTTACTTACCAAATAAGTTTTTGATCTCTATATTCATAATTACATAACTATATTTCATAATTATGCTCACAACACTATGTTCATAAATATAGAACTATATGTTCATAATTGTTCAACTATATATATTCATAATTATGAACAATTTTGGAATCGTGTTTACCTTGCAAGGTGGACACAATTCCACAACATAATTTATCGGGTCAATAGTACTAAAAAAAAAAAAAACTTTAAACTTCTCAATAGTTGCCCACATTGATGAGCAAGCAATTATGTTTGTAAAAGGAGCATTGCTTCTCTTATATAGAGGAGCTCAAGAGCTCCTTTTCTAAATATTTTCAATGTGGGATCAAATGATCCAACATCTTTTACAAAGGTGAGTCCGTGGCACCCTTTTATCTTCTTCTTATTTATTTTAATTTTAATTTTATTTTGTATATCGTTTTGTTTGGATTACTATTATTATTATTATTATTATTATTATATTATTATTATTATTATTATTATTATTATTATTATTATTATTATTATTATTATTATTATTATTATTATTATTGTTATTTATTTATTTGATTATTGATAAATTCGCCAAAATTTTAACAAATTCATCATTTTAACATTTTAATTTTAACCAAAACCCGCAAAAAATTATATAGTAATTCAGTAATTTGCTTCAAATGGCTAAAAACTAATACAACACATACATTTTGTGTTAATCTTTCACAACCCCCATTAATAATTAATAATAAATAAAAACTAAAATAAGAAGACATAGTTGAGGCTTCTTAAATAAGAAGCTTTTGACATCTCAATACTTGCCCACATTGATGGGCAAGAAATTATGTTTGTAAGGTGATCATTGCTCCTCTTATATAGATGAGCTCTCTACTTTCAAACATTTTCAATGTGGGATAAAAATGATCTAAAAATCATTTACAAATGCAGCCCGTGACTCCTCTTTGTCTTTTTTTCTTTTTGTTTTTTTGTTTTTTGTTTTTAATTTTAATTGTATTTTGTATATAGTTTTGTGTGGATTATTATTGTTGTTGTTGTTGTTGTTATTGTAATTTGATTATTTGACAAATTCGTCAAAATTTTAAGAAATTTGTCTGTTTACCATTTTATATTTTATCAAAACAACAAAAATATTATTTAATAACTTAATAAATTTGCTCGAAACTGCTAAAAACTAAAATAACTCATATACATTTTTGGTTAATCTTTCTCAAATCTCCTAATAAATTTAAAAAAAAAATTAAAATAAAAATTAAGAATCCATTAAGATAAGTTTTTTTAAATAAGAGCCATTTGACACGTTGGGTTTTAATAGGTTGTGGAACCGTGCCCACCTTGCAGTTCTATGTTTATAAATATTGAACTATAAGTTCATTATTATAAAGCTATATATTCATAATCTTTGAACTTCATATTCATAATTATTGAACTCTATATTTATAATTACAGAACTCTATGTTCATAGTTATTGAATTATATGTTCATAATTATACAGATATATATTCATAATTTTTGAACTTCATATTCACAATTATTGAATCTCTATATTCATAATTAGATAACTATGTGTTTATAATTATGTTCACAACACTATGTTCATAATTTTTGAACTATATATTGATTATTATATTCATAATTATGAACTATTTTTGAACCATGTCTACCTTGCAAGGTGGACACATTTCCACAGCATAATTGTCGGGTCAATATAGTACTATAAAAAGCCTTTGGACTTTTCAATCCTTGCCAACATTGATGGGCAAGCAATTGTATGGCTATATAGAGGAGATCAAGAGCTCCTCTTTTCAAACATTTTCAATGTGGGATCAAAATGATCCCACATCATTTACTAAGGGGAGCCACCTTTGTCTTCTTCTTATTTTATAATTAATTTTATTTTTATTTTTATTTTGTATATAGTTTTGTTTGGATGATTATTATTATTATTATTATTATTATTATTATTATTATTATTATTATTATTATTATTATTATTATTATTATTATTATTATTATTATTGTTGTTGTTGTTGTTGTTGTTATTATTATAATTTTATTTTATACTTGAACAATAATATTTTTATTATACTTGAACAATAATATTATCAATTATATTATATTATAGAATATAATACCATATATAATATTACCAATTAATAGATTTTATTTAATTTTCATTTGACATTTACTTACCAAATAAGTTTTGAATTTCTATATTCATAATTACATAACTATATGTTCATAATTATGCTCACAACACTATGTTCATAATTATAAAACTATATGTTCATAATTGTTGAACAATATATATTCATAATTATGAACAATTTTAGAATCGTGTCTACCTTGCAAGGTGGACACAATTCCACAACATAATTTATCGAGTCAATAGTACTAAAAAAAAAAAAATCTTTGGACTTCTCAATACTTGCCCACATTGATGGGCAAGCAATTATGTTTGTAAAAGGAGCATTGCTCTTCTTATATAGAGGAGCTCAAGAGCTCCTTCTCTAAACATTACCAATGTGGGATCAAATGATCCAACATCATTTACAAAGGGGAGTCCATGGCACCCTTTTGTTTTCTTCATATTTATTTTAGTTTTAGTTTTATTTTGTATATCGTTTTGTTTGGATTACTATTATTATATTATTATTTTTATTTTTTTTTAATTTGATTATTGATAAATTCGTCAAAATTTTAACAAATTCGTCATTTTAACATTTTAACTTTAATCAAAACCCCCAAAAAATTATATAGTAACTCACTAATTTGCTCCAAATAGCTAAAAACTAATACAACACATACATTTTGTGTTAATCTTTCACAACCCCCATTAATAACAAATAAATACAAACTAAAATAAGAAGACAAAGTTGAGGCTTCTTAAATAAGAAGCTTTTGACATCTCAATACTTGCCCACATTGATGGGCAAGAAATTATGTTTGTAAGGGGATCATTGCTCCTGTTATATAGAGGAGCTCTCTCTTTTCAATCATTCAATGTGGGATAAAAATGATCTCAAAATCATTTACAAAGGGAGCCCGTGACTCCCCTTTGTCTATTTTTTTTTTCTTTTTTCTTTTTAATTTTAATTTTATTTTGTATATATTTTTGTTTGGATTATTATTATTGTTGTTGTTGTTGTTATTGTTATTTGATTTTTTGGCAAATTCGTTAGAATTTTAAGAAATTCGTCTGTTTAACATTTTATATTTATCAAAACACCAAAAATATTATTTAATAACTTAACAATTTGCTTGAAACGGCTAAAAACTAAAACAACTCATATACATTTTTGGTTAATCTTTCCCAAACACCCTAATAAATTAAAAAATTAAAAAAAATTAAAAAAAATAAGAATCCATTAAGATAAGTTTGTTTATATAAGAGCCATTTGACACGTTGAGTTTTAATAGATTGTGGAACCGTGTCCACCTTGCATTTCTATGTTCATAAATACTAAACTATAAGTTCATTATTTTAAAGTTATATATTCATAATCTTTGAACTTCATATTCAAAATTATTGAACTCTATATTCATAATTATAGAACTCTATGTTCATAATTATTGAATTATATGTTCATAATTATAAAAATATATATTCATAATTATTGAATTATATGTTCATAATTATAAAAATATATATTCATAATTATTGAATCTCTATATTCATAATTAGATAACTATGTGTTCATAATTATGTTCACAACACTATGTTCATAATTATAGAACTATATGTTCATAATTTTTGAACTATATATTGATTATTATATTCATAATTATGAACTATTTTTGAACCATATCTACCTTGCAAGGTGAACACATTTCCACAACATAATTTGTCAAGTCAATAATAGTACTATAAAAAGCCTTTGGACTTCTCAATACTTGCCCACATTGATGGGCAAGCAATTGTGTGGTTGTAAGAAGAGCATTGCTTCTCTTATATAGAGGAGATCTAGAGCTCTAGATCTCCTCTTTCTAAACATTTTCAATGTGGGATCAAAATGATCCCACATCATTTACTAATGGGAGCCACCTTTGTCTTCTTTTTTTTTTTAAAAAAAAATTTAATTTTAATTTTATTTTGTATATAGTTTGGTTTGGATTATTATTATTATTATTATTATTATTATTATTATTATTATTATTATTATTATTATTATTATTATTGTTGTTGTTGTTGTTGTTATTTTAATTTTATTTTATACTTGAACAATAATATTATCAATTATATTATATTATAGAATATAATACCATATATAATATTACCAATTAAGAGATTTTATTTAATTTCCATTTGACATTTACTTACCAAATAAGTTTTACTACTAAAGTTTTGGGGGGAAAATTTGTTAGGAGAATTTTACTTTTATATATATATATAGAATATATAGATTAGAATAGAATTTTAACGCAACGAATGGGAAAGTAGAAATCAATATATTTTATAGGAAGAGGGAGATTTTTTAGAAATTGGACGGGAAGTTAAAATTTCAGGATTTTATTTTTATATATAGTATAGATTTTATTCTAAATACGTAATTGCATAATATGAGACACATAAACACACATATACATGTTTTACAATAAAAAAAAAATCTTTTAACATGAATTGAACAATAAATGGTCACCGTAAAAATTAAGATTCAAAATTACTTGGTTTAGGAGTGTGGAAGTGGTCGACGAAATAATGTTTTTCTTATTCAAATGATCCAGATGTTTCACAAAAGATGTTATCCCTTGTCAGTGTCAGATGACTGACTAAACAATAATGAGTAGACCATTTCACTCCACGTATCTCTGGCCTACCACCATATATAAATATATAACATATAATGTACTTAATGCGCACCAAACGCTCCCCTTTTCCACCTGCTGTCCAAAATAAGATTTTCAATCCTTCTCTTTCTCTCTCTCAACAGCGAAAATATCAAACACTCTCCACACTTCACTTTCCTCTCAGACAATTTTCGCTAGGTGAAGTCTGAGATTTCAAAGCGTTCTCGATTAAAAGAATCACAGGTATTAATTTTCCGATTCCTTGGGCGTCCACATTCTGCCCTGTAATTCAATTCATTAATTTTCCGATTCCTTGGGCGTTCACATTCCTTGGGTTTTCATCCCTTTATGGTTTTATTATGCCAACCTGGGGTTATCGAATTTTCTGAACTTATTTTAGCTAACTATCTGTCTGCGAACTTTCTTGAATATCTGCGACATATGATTTGATGGATGTTTGAGGAAGTACCTTGAACTTTATATTTGAAACCATATTTGCAGGGTTAATCTAGTTGATTTCGGTCAATCAGTGTTATATCTTGCAGTCGAGGGAATGTTTGTATAGTTTACGATAAAACGAAGTATTGGCAATGAGTAGTTCTAGAAGGTGCTTTGATGTTTGTGAAGATAAAAATAGAGATAGAGTAGTGCGTGGCGATGGAATGGATAGTCTTGATCATGAAATTGTGCAACTCACAAGGGTTTGTTCTAGTCCCCATCCGGGGCTCTGTGGGGCCAGACCTGGCAAGGTGACTTTACATGTTTCACCAGTGAAAATGTTAGGAGGCAGGGAAGTAAATTATAATGGGAGAGGTAGATTCACTTCGGCTGAGTGCTGTCATGTTTTAAGCCGGTATTTGCCCGTTTATGGTCCTTCAGTAGTAGATAAAATGAGAAGTTGCGCATATGTATCACAGTTCTCTGCTGATGGTTCTCTATTTGTCGCAGGTTTTCAGGTATGGTTTTATTGGTGCATTAGTCTGAGCAAGAGCACCATATAAATCTCATTCAATTATGGTATAAATTTTTTGATCTTCATACAGGATAGCGATATTAAAATATATAATGTTAATCGTGGGTGGAAAGTTCAGAAGGTCATCCGTGCCAAGAGCTTGCGATGGACAGTCACAGATACATCACTTTCGCCGGATCAACGTTTTCTTGTATGTTTGTTTATAGTTATTAGACTGTTCATGAATAACCCCTAGCATGAGAATTATAAATCATATCTACTTCATGTGTTCAAAATTTCCCCCTAATTTTATATTCTGTCATTTTATGTCATTGGCTTAGTTTCTTTCTTTGGAATTGCTAGTGAAATGATTATCTCATGCTTTTGGCTTGTTAATTGTTTTTTGTCACTATATCATCACTGGGGGGGGGGGGGGGGTGGGGTGCATGGATATTTCACACTGAATTGGAATGCTATACCAAGTTGGATCAAATTTTTGTAAGAGAAGTGAAAAGCTTCAATTTGAGGAAAATATGGATGCAGTTTATCTTTGACATTTGGTTTTTAAAATGTATTTTAATATTTGCAATGGATATAGTATAAGTATGAATTCATTTTTTTTTCCCAAATAGTAACAATGGAAAAGAAGAATTTATATTTCAACTTGATTTACAATTCTTGTCTAAAAATAAAATGTATTTTCATAATTGAAATGAAAGAAATATAATTATAAAGTTTTTTTCTCTAGATAGTAAATAAATAAGAATTAGAATAAATAAATATAACAAGACAATTTATTGCTAAAATGGACAGTTACAAATATAACAGTTTTGAATTTATATTGTCTTAATTTCAAATAATTTTTTGATTCATAATTTTCTACTATCTACACAAAAAATCAAATTTAAAAATAAAATAATATTTATATTGTCTTTGATTCAATTGTAAAAAGATACATATTTCATATTACTATCTATTCCACTCCATTTTAATCTCAATTTCCTTATAACCAAATTGGCTTTTAGTGTTTGGGGTTATGATAATTAAGACTATTCTAATAGTTGCTTTTTATTCTTTTATTTATTTATTTATTTTGGGTGGGGGGCGTTTTGGGAGGAACGTCTCTTGAAATAAAAGGGAGGGGGTGTGGGAAGAGTTTTCCATTGATAGTGAAGAAAGTGACACAGGGAGTAGTTGTTTGCCAATCCAGCACCATAAAAAATGAAACTAATTGCTTGGTATTTGTGAAGTATTGGTTCGTTTAGGGTAATTGATGTTTTAAACTTCTATTGTTCTGATAGTTACTTTTACAGCTACCCAAGTTTGCTGCTGAGAAGTGAGAGTTTATAATGAACTTCTGACAATATATATGATGTGTTAACTAGTATTTCAAAAAGGGAATTTAAATTAGCTCTCTTCTCTACCTTCTATTCTGTATATGGGGTTTCGTGAAACTTGACAGTGTCTGAACTGCCCTATAATGTTCTTGCAAGCAGTTGTTTCTTTCAGCTTTCATGACATCTTTACGCTATCATAGTCTGTTTTGTCCTTCCAATTTATTTCTTTTCTTTTTAATTATGTATTTCCCAATTCTAGCTTTCTAATCTTGTCTTAAGTTTCTAACTGCAGGTTTATTCTAGTATCTCACCTATTGTTCATATTGTTGATGTTGGATCCGGTACAAAAGAGTCTGTCGCTAATGTTACGGTATGCATTGTTAGTTTAAATGTTTACTTTGGGAAAAAGCACTGAAATCCTCTTGTTTTAGAATTGAAAATGTCTGACAAATTATATAAATTGTGTATGAGTGTATCATTCCCTTTTCGTGTTTAACTTGATTTCCAATAAACAGTGCTTTAGTATGGACAAAAATGATATATTCTTAATACACGGCTCATGCTGCTGGCCTGCGCTTAGTTCACACTATAGGGCTTGTGATTTTGAGCAGGAGCTGTGCGAGCAGATTTTAAGCTACAGTTAGTCCATTGAACGAAGGTTATAGTACTAAAATTGAGTGAATATTACAACACCAGACATATTTAAGTTATGGTTGTCATTTTGAAAATATACTCCAGAAGAAATAAATTCCCTGCAAGTTGTCATATGATGACACTGAAAAGTCTGTGGCTATTTGTATCTCTGTCATATGATGCACTAAAGAGTTTGTATTTATTTGTTTCTCTTTTGTCTTCTGCAGGAAATTCATGAAGGTCTAGAATTTTCTTCAGATGTTGATGACTATGATGATTATTCTTTTGGAATCTTCTCTGTTAAATTTTCAACAGATGGGCGAGAACTTGTAGCTGGCAGCAGTGATGATTCAATCTATGTTTATGATCTTGAAACAAAAAAACTAAGCCTTCGAATCGATGCTCATAAGGTTTTTCTTATTAAGCATTTACTTATGATGCTTTATTATCTCTAAAATTCTTCATGATGTTTTATATGCTCAAAAATAAGTTAAATGGGTTACAAAGTCTATCAGATCCAAGGGACAAGTGTTTACAGATGTTCAAATATGTTGAACGTTTATATTGCATTCTTTTCCTGCAGTCTGATGTTAATGCTGTATGCTTTGCTGATGAAACCGGCCACCTCATATATTCTGGGAGTGATGATAACCTTTGTAAGGTAAATTGCATTGCCACTTTAGAGTCGATGGAATGATATACTGGTGACCAATTTAAAAAGTGTTGTTTGCATAATTTAGTTAGAGTTGAAAACAAACTCAAAGCCACTACAGTGAAATTTTATGACTTAGTTATCAGCCAATGTGAGTCAATATTGTGAAGAATAAAGGATTCACTGTATTCGATGTAAAGAACTGTATAGATACCTACTATTTATACAGGAATAATTGAATAAACGACTAACCTAATGGTCCCATTCCTAAAAGGGCTTAGGGTTTCAACACCCACCCCTCAAGCTAGAGAGTATAAATCATATTCTCCACGCTTGTTACAAATATACCCAACTCTAGGAGCTCTAAGGGATTTTGTCAAGATATCAGCTAACTGATCTGCAGAATTGACAAAGCTAGTTTTAATACACTTATACACCCTGACACAATCTTCTCTCTGATGAAGTGGCAATCAACCTCGATGTGTTTGGTTCTCTCATGATAAACTGGATTTGAGGCGATGTGTAGAGCTGCTTGGTTGTCACATATCAGTGTCATTTGAGCAACATTGCCACATTGCAACTCTTGTAATAAGTGCTTCAGCCACATGAGCTCACAGGTGGCAAGGGCCATGGCCCGGTATTCAGCTTTAGCACTGGACCTGGCAACAACATCTTGCTTCTTACTTTTCCAAGATATAAGATTACCACTAATGAGTGCACAATAACCCGAAATAGAGCGCTTGTCAAATGGACAACTGGCCAAATCTGCATCAGAGTACCCAACAACCTGAGCATGTCCTCTATCTTCGTATAGTAAACATTGCCCGGGTGCTCTCTTGATATACCTTAGTACTCGACCGGGTGCTCTCTTGATATACCTTAGTACCCGAACAATAGCATTCCAATGAGTATCACAAGGGTTCTCAAGAAACTGACTTAATACACTAATTGCAAAAGAGATATTTGGTCGTGTGATTGTGAGATAATTCAATTTTCCAATTAGTCTCTTGTATCGTTCTTGGTCAGGCAATGGCTCCCTCTGTCTTGGTAGAAGTTTAACATTCGGATCCATTGGATTATCTACAGGTCTACAATCCAACATACCAGTTTCTTCTAAAATATCCAAGGCATACTTTCTTTGAGAAATGACTATACCATTGCTATATTAGGCCACTTCAATTCCGAGAAAATACTTTAGCTTGCCCAAATCCTTAGTCTGGAATCGACTGAAGAGATACTCTTTCAATTGAGATATGCCCTCTTGATCACTTCTTGTAATAACAATGTCATCCACATACACTACAAGGTATATGCATTTCCCATTAGAATGACGATAGAAAACAGAATGATAAACTTCACTTCTGGTCATACCAAACTCACACACCACAAAGCTAAATCTCCCAAACTAAGCCCATGGAGACTGCTTTAAACCATATAGGGAGCAATGAAGTTTACATACCAAACCAGACTCCCCCTGAGCAACAAACCCAGGTGGTCCAATGGAGGTAGCGGCACCTTGATCGGAGATCTGAGGAGAGAGATTTGGCCGGGAAATAGTAGGAAGCTCCGCCGTCGCGTGGCGGCGTAAGGCGACCGGATTTCAGCCTCAGGCTCGCGACGAGGTTCGGGGTAGGCCTGTGGTGTTGGTTTGGGAAAAGAACCACTAGGCAGACGTCGGAACGAAAGAAACAGTCACGGCACTCCGGTGGTGGCTGCGGCAGCAGGAAAGAAAAGGTTATTTAGGGTTTAGGCTCTGATACCATGTGAAGAATAAATGATTCACTGTATTCGATGTAAAGAACTGTACAGATACCTACTATTTATACAGGAATAAACGATTAACTTAATGGGGGCATAGGGTTTCAACAAATATAAATGTTGAGGATGAAATCTTGTGTGGTGTGTAAAGCATGTTGTTGAATTATTTTTTCCATGTTGTCTGATGGCATTTGACTTTGGTTTGAGTGAAGTTATTGGTGATACTTTTGTTGCATATTTCTCATGCACATTTTAATTATATCTACACTTTCAACCGGCTAATAAGAGTAATTTGCATATTTATTCAACAGTTGAACACATCCTCAGCCTCACTGCAATGGCATTTTTTGACACAATTATGAGTAGATGTGAATCACCAGAAGTGCTGAGGATTAACTTTTGTTTGGCACTTTAGACTTTTGTTAAATTAGTTTTCCGTTTAGGCGTTTAATTTGATGAGATTGGACTCAGTAGAAGTCGGGTGATGAATGATACTTCCATTGCAATATTTTTCATGGACTTTTTAATTTTATGCATATGGAAAATCTACACGGCTACATCATTTGTTTAAGTAGTAGACTATAGATCACGGATCAAACCTGTCTTCTTTGGAGGTCTGTAGGGCCTTGGGAATTAAGTCTTAGTAGATCTATTGCCCAATGAGGCAATGATAGGTATTCTCCATTTGCTATTGCATTATTTTGTTGGATTGCAAATATTTCTGCTATTATGGACATATAAAGCATATACTCTGTAAATTAAAAGATTGCAGAGTATACTATTATTATAATAAATACTATGCTCCATTCAGGTTTGGGATAGACGTTGCTTTGCTTCTGAACAGAAAGCAGCTGGGGTCCTCATAGGCCATCTAGAAGGCGTAACATTCATAGACACTCGTGGAGATGGCCGTTATCTTATCTCAAATGGGAAAGATCAGGCAATCAAGCTCTGGGATATCAGAAAAATGTCTTCTAATGTGAATTAGTATGTCTAATTTAAAATCTCATTGTTTTTTGGAGTCCATTGCTTAGTTCTTAAAGAAATGCATTTCCACTGTAGCACTCCTAGGCCTCGAAAGTATGATTGGGATTACAGATGGATGGACTACCCTGAGCATGCAAGAAATAAGAGACATCCTCATGACCTGTCATTGACTACATACAAAGGGCATTCAGTCTTGCGTACACTGATACGCTGCTACTTTTCTCCAGCGTATAGGTATTTAATGGCAGTTCTGATGATTGTTCTATATTCTCATTTTAGAGCAATGAATTTTTGTGCAAAAATCATAAAGTGATTCTTGTTTGCTTCTAATTCATCTCTTGAGTTTCATCCCATCCAGTGCCTTGATGCATATCAGTTGTTACTCTGTATTTTTAATTTGAATATAACTCTTGATTAGCTCATGAAAATTGTTTGTTGACCATCCAATTTACACTGCACAACTTCTTGCTAATTGCCCAAGTTCTAGGCCTGAAGTCCCCTTTTCAAATTGGGTCAAGGCTCTTTGGATAAGTTGTTTATTGCTTCAAGGTTAAATTTGTTGTAATATATTTGAGATGTGAAAGTTGTTGAAACATTGCCATGAATGTGTTCTTGGCTTAGCTGTTTTCCATCCCCTTCCTTGGCTCAAGCATACATAATAATTTACAGTTCTGCACAGTTTTAATGATGTTTAGTAACTCTTGCATTTCAATGCCAAAGGTCTAGTTTTTATCTTCTACAAGAGGGAGTTTGCCAAATGATTGACGACATGTAAATGATAACATGTTTCAATGTCTACTAATTTTACAGCACGGGGCAAAAGTATGTCTACACTGGATCGACTGATTCTTCTGTTTATATTTATGACCTGGTATGCCCGAGGTTTTTGATATCCTAATTTTCTACCCTTGGTACCTATTCATACTAATTTCTATCCAACCTAGTTCGTGTGAATGTCATGTGGAGTTGATGAATTCATGGATCTAAATGTTTGCTTGTCTTGTAGGTGAGTGGTGCACGAGTTGCAAGGCTAGACTTTCACGAAGCACCCGTACGAGACTGCAATTGGCACCCTTTCCTACCCATGTTAATCAGCTCCTCGTGGGATGGTGTCATCGCAAACTGGGAATTTCCAGGTAACGGGGATAGCCCTGTACCAGTAATGCGGCCCAGAAGATACAGGCAACCACAACTGATATGGTAAGCCATAGCCACTTCTGCATCTCTCTCAGACAACACAAAATGTTTCCAAAATCCTAAAATTTATAGTCTTAATGTAATATGAATTTGTGTACTTTCAAAACGTGTTCTGAATCTTAACAGTATATTTCTTACCAGCATGAATTGCGCTGCGAGCCTTGGCCTATGTTTAACATTTACTTGTCCCTATATACATATACGAACATACATGTATATATTTATACCAAGGTCTAGTAATAAAAAGTTCATATTCTTGTACTTAATATATGCTGATAGCAACATAGGCGTAGAGCTGTATACATCTCTTTGACAAACATCCCTTGTTTATTTAAGTTATAATTTGCATTAAATTTTGTATCTCTAATCGCTATCTCTAAAATCTAAATCTATATCTATAATCTATAACCTACGATTCTACATTCTACAATTCTAATAAGAGTCAATAATGTTAGGCAATTTATATCTTGCATCAGGGCGCGCATTACATTATGCGCCCTGATGCAAAATGACGTCGTTTCATTTTTTTTTTTTTTTTTGAAATTTCGCTACCCTATGTTGGCGGTTATTTTTTTTTTTAAAAAAAATCTCTTACATAATTTTATACTAGAATACACATAATTATATACACGAATGTACATAATTGTATATTAGAATACACATAATTATATACATGAATGTACATAATTGTATAATAAAATACACATTTTTTTTAAAAAGATAATACATATAATCTAACATAATACATAATATACAATAACTTTTAACATAATAAACATCAACTCTTAACACAATACACATAAATTTCTTGTTTTTGATGTACATAATTGTATAAAAAAGATGTACATGATTGTAAAAAATGTACATAATTGTATAAATAAATACACATAATTGTATAAATAAATACACATAATTTATAAACAAATACACATAATCGCATCAACTCTCTACATAACTTACCAAAACGACATCGTTTTAGGACTGTGGTGCAGGGTATAACGATTGACAATGTTAGGCCCTTAACTAGAACAAGAAAATGTCGGTAGTATTGTTTAATGATTCATATTATTTTGATTTTAATATTTTATTATTTTTAATAATTTTACTTATTTACCCACTATTATATTATTTTCTTCCCTTCAATAACTTAAATTCTGTTAGTATAAACTTTAGTAACGGAACATTCCGTTAATTATTAATTATTTTTAACTTATTAATTTATCTAAGAAAGATCTTAGGTTCGAACCCTATCCCAATTATAGTGAGAGTAATTGTTAAACATATACTACGAATATATTAAAATGTATTAAAAAATATATAATATAAAATTTAACATAAACTTTGGTCAAATAATTAATCCGACTAAATACATAACATTCAAAGTTAAGCATAAAATATTATAAATCAAGAACTTTAAAAATCATTTAATTTTTATGCATTTTAAAAAAATAAATTTATGTTAAGTTTTTTTTTTTTTCCGTTTAATTAATCTTTTTTTTTATTATTATTATTTAGATCAGAACAAAACTTAATATTTCAATTATATTTTTACATTATTGGTATGATTTAGGTTGTTATGATATTAACTTTTTGTATGTATTTTTTTAATGGTACAATTGTACATTACTTTACAAATATTATACTATTATTTTTTTATCAGACAAAATTGTTCTTACATCATTGTCAGACCTGCGCGACCTAACTACAAAGTTGTTGATCATAAATACAATTACACCTGGACTCTAAAACGACAATTATTGCATGGACCATGGTCCATGCACACAATTGTATGGACCATGAATATCAGGTACATTTTTAATATATTAAAAGTACATTATTTTTGTATTGAATGTACATTATTTTGTACTGAAGGTACATTATATAAAATAATGCACCCTTAGTATATTAAAAATGTACTTTTAAAAATGTACCATACGTACATAAATAATGTATGTGAATAATATGTTTAATATTGTGTTATATTCCTCTTGTAATAAGTTATTTAATATGTGGTGTTAGACTAGTCAGCTTAGAATAGTCTATTAGTCAGGAGACTTTTACGTGTAGCGTTTATCTATAGTATTTGTCTCTCTCTCTGTAACTGATTGGAATAGAATCGCATTTCATCTGGTATCAGCTAAGCCGTAGGTTAGATCCTCCACTTTTCTCTCCCTCCCTATCGTCGATCATCTCCCTACCGTCGACCACCTTTTCCATCTCCGATGTCGACAAACTCCTCTGAGAGAACTGTGACCACCGGCGCACCACCGCCGGCCACCACCCCAAACACCCTATCTACAGCCCACCACTTCGTCTCCATCAAACTCACCTCCCGGAATTTCCTTTTTTGGCGCACACAGCTCGTGCCCTTTCTCCGGGGACAGGGTCTGCTTGGTTACGTAGACGGAGAAACCCCCTGCCCGCTGCCGATGATTGATCCTCCGCCGTCCGACGACTCCGGCGCCACCACGGCTGTACCTCAGGCGAATCCAGCGTACAGGTTGTGGACACAGCAAGATCAGTCCATCCTCTCTCTTCTGATTTCATCACTATCAGAAGAGGTGATGTACTTGGCTGTTGGTCGGAACACGTCGCGGGAGGTCTGGCAGTCCATCACCGTTGCTCTCGGTTCGTCGAAGCGTGCGCGTTGCATGAATTTACTCGGGCAGTTCCAATCGTTGCGTCAAGGCAACAGTTCCCCGGCGGAGTTCCTAGGCCGTGCGCAGCTTCTAGTCGAAGACCTCGCACTCGCTGGCCGGCCGGTATCATTAGACGAACAGAATTTGTTCATTTTTCGGGGTCTACGCCCGGAGTTCAGGGCCATGGCGGCTTCGCTAACAGTTTCAGGTAATCCGATCACCATCCCGCAACTGTCGGATTTTTTACAGGCGCAAGAGTTCATACTTGCGGATGATTACCCGGCGCCGGCTTCTGGAGTCTCGCATTCCGGTCTGTACACTGCTCGTGGCGGACGCGGCAATGGTGAGGGAAATTCCCGTGGTGGACGCGGCCGAGGAGGTCGTGGCGGGAATGGACGTGGCGGCCGCAATGGTCGTGGAAATCCGCCGAGATGCTAGATCTGTCGGGCTCTCGGCCACACTGCTGTACACTGCTTCAAGCGTTACAATGCTCCGCCGCCTCCCCAGGCCAATCTCACGGTCGCCGGAGATGAATCCACAACCAGTGCAATTGATAATTGGTTCCCGGATACCGGAGCATCCGCTCATGCCACGCCCGACACGTCAATGATGTCTCAGTCTGATGAGTACAACGGGAATGACGTTCTGAGAGTCGGTAATGGCACAGGTTTGGTTATTTCACGCGTTGGTTCTGCATCTATTCCATCCGTGTCTAAGCCTCTTAAATTGTCTAATATATTACATGTTCCCGACTTATCTGTCCCATTACTTTCGGTTCAAAGATTTACTAACGAAAATAATGTATTCTTTGAATTTCACAAAGATTGCTTTTCAATAACCAGGGCAACCCTGCTTAAAGGGCCCACTTCTGGAGGGCTATACACACTTTCGCTGTCTTGGTCACGTTTCGCATTCATAAGTTCCCGAACCACTCCGGATATGTGGCACCGCAGACTTGACCACCCACATAATCGTGTCCTAAATAAAATTCTCCAAACGTGTCCGGTTGACAATAAATCCAAAGCAATGGGCGTTTGCACCGCATGTCATCTCGGGAAATCTTGTCGATTCCCGTTAGATAGGGTCAATTCTAGTAGTGCAAATGTATTAGATTTACTTTACACAGATGTTTGGGGACCATCTCCCGTTATTTCTAGTACTGGCTTTCGTTATTTTCTCTTATTTGTAGACGATTATTCCCGCTTTACCTGGTTTTATCCTTTACGGGTAAAGACGGATGTATACAAATGTTTTGAGTCGTTTCGAATCATGGTAGAACGGCAATTCTCGCGTTCTATCAAGTTCATTCAATCCGACCTGGGGGCGAATATCGCAAATTACATAACACGTTTCAATCCCTAGGTATAAACCATAGACAATCATGTGCTTACACGCACGAACAGAACGGAAGGGTAGAGCGCCAGAATAGACACATAGTTGAAATCGGGTTAGCTCTACTCGCTGAAAGTAAAGTCCCCCTACAGTACTGGGACTATGCTTTTGAAACTGCCACCACTTTAATCAACTACATGCCGTCTGCCGTTCTACAGTTCCAAAGTCCATACTCCCGTCTCTTTAATATGTCCCCTCCATACACTTTTCTACGAGTATTCGGGTGTCGGTGCTATCCCTACCTACGGCCTTATAATCGCCACAAGATAGAGTATCGCTACGCACCATGTGTCTTCTTAGGTTACCCACCGTCCTATAGGGGATATAGATGAATGGACTTAACAACTGGAAAAATCTACATCTGTCGTCATGTCCGGTTTGGCGAAACTACTTTTCCTTTTTCAGATAAAGTTGTGCAGCACGCACCGCAACAAGTTGCACCCTTGGCACCTTGGGCAGCTGGCCCCTTAGTACCGCAACCTATACCACCGATTGTGGTTGCACCATCTGTTGAGCCGAAACCCATACCCTTGGCTAGTGAACCCGCACCCTTGGCTAGTGAACCCGCACCCTTGGCTATCAGGCCACCGGCAAGGGGTCGCCGAAGAAAGCCAGCGGCTCCACTCGTGCCACTTACTATGCGCCTACGACGTATGACACAAGGTTCGGATGAAGAATTTCATGCTCTAAGTGCCACTATAGATCCAACGTGCTACTCTCAAGCCGTTGGACACCCACATTGGCGTGATGCCATGGACCAGGAGTTTAATGCACTCCTTCACAATAATACTTGGCAGCTAGTCCCAGCAGAATCACATATGAACATAATTGGGTGCAAATGGGTATTTAGAACTAAACGCAATGCAGATGGGTCCGTTGAGAGATATAAGGAAAGGATTGTTGCCAAGGGGTTTAATCAGGTCGCCGGTGAAGATTTTTTCGACACTTTCAGTCCCGTTGTTAAGCCGACTACAGTCCGGTTGTTGTTTTCTCTTGCTGTGTCATATAACTGGACTTTACGGCAGCTTGATGTTCATAATGCTTTTCTGAATGGGCATCTTGCTGAAACTGTTTACATGAAGCAGCCACCTGAGTATGAGGATCCCACGCACCCGGATTATGTTTGCCATCTCCAGCGCTCTTATATGGCCTCAAGCAGGCACCTCGGGCCTGGTTCAAGAGGTTGCATGACTTCTTACTCTCTACAGGTTTTTTAGCATCCAAAACGGATGTATCACTTTTTCACTATACCACTGGTACAGCTCGGGTTTTTTTATTAGTGTATGTGGATGATATAATCATGCTAGGGAATGATTATGCGCTTATTGACACTCTTCTCAAGCAGTTATCCACGACATTCAAGATTCGAGACTTAGGGACACCTGGATTCTTTTTGGGTATTGAAACAGTGAAGGTAAAAGGAGGAATGCTACTATCACAACGTCGTTACATGGGTGATATTCTCACACGTGCGGGTATAAGTGGCTGTAAGCCGTTGATCACACCTGCCGCGGTCACTCAAGCTGTCTCTCTTTCTTATCAACCGTATGAAAATCCGACTCAGTATCGTCGTATTGTGGGGGCTTTGCAATATTTAACAATCACACGGCCCGACTTATCATATGCAGTTAATAGGCTGTGTCAGTTCATGCTCTCACCGACAGACGATCACTGGGGTCTTCTGAAGCGAGTTCTCCGTTATGTTAAAGATACTCAGGACTATGGTTTGCGTTTGTCTCCGTCTACATCGACTGCTCTTCATGCCTTCTCAGATTCGGATTGGGCTGGGTGTCCAGTTGACAGAAAGAGTACAAGTGGTTATGCTGTGTTCCTTGGTACCAATCTCATCTCATGGTTATCCAGGAAACAGCGGACAATTGCTAGATCGTCTACTGAAGCAGAGTATAAAGCCCTTGCAGATGTTTCCACAGAGGTTACGTGGGTTGTGTCTCTTTTACAGGAACTGGGTTTGCACTCTGGTCAGCCGTCTACTCTGTGGTGTGATAATCTGGGCGCCACGTATCTCTGTGCTAATCCAGTTTTTCATGCCCGAACAAAGCACGTGGAGATAGATTATCATTTCGTACGAGACAAAGTCGCATCTGGAGATTTTGTTATTAATTTTGTGTCCACTAAGGATCAACTTGCAGATATTTTCACCAAGCCGCTGCCAGGTCCGCGCTTCCAGCTTCTTCGTGACAAGCTCAATGTGGTAGCACACCCACCTTGTGCTTGAGGGGGTGTGTGAATAATATGTTTAATATTATGTTATATTCCTCTTGTAATAAGTTATTTAATATGTGGTGTTAGACTAGTCAGCTTAGAATAGTCTATTAGTCAGGAGACTTTTACGTGTAGCGTTTATCTATAGTATTAGTCTCTCTCTCTGTAACTGATTGGAATAGAATCGCATTTCATCATGTACACTTAGTATATTAAAAATGTACTTTTTATTTATGATCCACACAATTGTGTGGGCAATGGTCCATGCAATAATGATTGCTCTAAAATAGTAGGACCATTTTTCAAAAAATTGACAATGTTGACATCTCACTGGTTCCAATTGAACAAGTTTACGCATTAGAATTTTATCATGCATGAAAACTTCTAAAGAAATTTGTAAGTTAATTTTTACTATATCATTATAACAATATCTATTGTAACTATATATTTTGAATTATTTATTATCATCCTCTATTGACAGTATTGTAACAATTGTCACTGACAAACTCTCAAAACAATTGGTCTCAACAACGAAAATTAATTTAAAAAAAAATCAATGATTTCATTATTGTTGATGAAAAGTATGTACGCCAATTTATTACTCTTATTAAATTAAATAAATTAGTAGCTACAACAAAAAATAATATATATGCATTTAATTAATTTAAAATTAGATATGCATTACTCTTATTAATATTTAAAATAATATATATGCCACTCCAGTCGAAGTTCCCATAGCTCGTCGACCACCCAGTCGCGCCCCGCACACCGCCCGACCAACCGCTCGCTGCCACCACCTCTTGCCGTACAGCCGGCCGCCTGGACGGAGCAACGCCCCCACCATCGCGCCACGACCGACCGCGAGAGTCCGCCACCCCATTCGTCGCAACCTCGGACAAGCGCCACATCGCCGCCGCCCTCCAGACGACGTGACACCTGGAACCCCGCCGTAAACGCCCACGCCGCATCGCACCGCCGCCAAGCTCGCCGGAACTCCCGCCGTAGAGTCACCGGAAAACCGCCCCATCCGTAACCACTCCAAACAATGCCGAAGAAGCCCACCGGTACCCTAGTCCCGGAGTGGAACGATGCCGACTACACGGTGATCAGAGGTAAAGCGCTTGACCCGACCAATTCTCTCCGGAGTTGGTTGATATGCTTAGATTCCAACGCCTTTTGGATACCTATCTCACGATTAAAGGGGATACGTATCCTGAATTGGTAAAGGAGTTCTATTTCCATTTGGTGGCTACCAAACGGGGGGACAAGTTGGAGATCACCTCCAAGGTCCGAGGCAAGGAGATAGTGTTCTCCGAGGGCCGTTTGGCTAAACTCCTGAAATTGACCACCACGGGTGTGTCAGACTATGACCGAAAAGCATGGGTCAGTACCCGAGACACGGGGTACGCAGACTATCTCAGGTATTTATTGAGAAGAGAAGGCGGTTTTACTTCGGCCACAAGGCCAATCAAGAAGTTGCTAATCGTCGAACAGAAACTGCAAGTTATGATTGTGTTCGACAGCTTGTTGCCCACTAACAACATGAGCAACGATGTGGGGAGCTTGGAATGCACCTTTGCCTATTTCCTTAAGCATAAGATCAAGTTCAATCTGCCCGCCCTTATGTTGAAGCACATGGAATTTTGTAAATTTAGCAACCACCGCTTAGTCTATCCTATGGGATGATCCTAAGCAAGATCATGGAAAAGAAGGGAGTGGACATAAGCCGGACTGAGGCCAGACCCATGAGCGGGATGGTTTTCAACACCCAAAACCTCCGCCGCAATGACATCTACCATGTCGGAGTGGGATAGTACATCACC